ACGTCGCCGTCGTCAGCCAGAACCCCAACCTCTTCGACGCTTCCATTTCGGACAATATCGCGTATGGCACCAGTGGACTATCAAAAGCAGATATCGAATTTGCTGCGCAGGCCGCTCACGTCCACGAATTCATTCACTTTTTGCCCAAAGGCTACGATACTATGCTTGGAGAGAACGCTTCTCTCATCTCTGGTGGACAAGCTCAACGTATCCAGATCGCACGCGCTTTAGCTCGACCTTGCAAGATCCTCATTCTTGATGAATGTACTTCGGCGCTGGATTCGCATAACCAGATCGCGGTGTTGGATACTATTCGCGATGCCAAGGTTGGGAGGACGACCTTGATGGTCACGCATAAGTTGCCTGTGATGCAGATGTGTGATAGGATTTTGGTTGTTCATGACGGTGCGGTTGTGGAGGATGGTTCGTATTATGCGTTGATGGAGAAGAATGGGGTGTTTGCTAGTCTTGCTAGTGCTGGGGAGTGGTCTGGGGAGTGATTTTTTTCTCTTTCTGTTTTTTTTGCGCCTTGTTGCGGTTTATCAGCATCTTCGTTCGACGCCCCACTTTTTTGGTTATCTTTGGTTATTTTCTATGTACTCTGCGACGATGACTGGATGCTTTTTTGAGCGTTCGTTTACGCTCACCACCTCACGACATTCATTGTATTGATATCAACAACGGCAACTCCACTGTATCGTAGCACCACTTAGTTAGAACACTCATTTGCATAGTAGTACACACATGAACGAATAACATTTGTTGAACAACATACTTATGTGTGTGATTGCCGCGTCCACTGCAGACTTCGAAACAACGCGGCCATCTAACTTGAAATATCGTTCGTCTGCTCTACCAACAATTGCCACATCCTGAGATGGTGAAGGACCCCCGTAGCGCGTCCGAGTTTAAGGAGAAGGGCAATGGACTCTTCAAGAACGGCTCTATGGCAAAGTGAGTTGATGTTCAATGTCGCTTGACACCTCTTGAGGTAGCAAACTCGTCCCTATTGAAACATCGTTATTGCGCAGGGCTGCCAGCATGTATTCGAAGGTGAGTTCTATTTCGGTCACTACAAGCGAATCTGATCCCTTTTGCAACCGATAGGCGGAAGAATTGGCTCCAAGCGATCCCATCTATCCCTCCAATCTCAGCGCAGCTCTGTTTGAGGTTGGCGATTATGTTGGATGTTCAGACGCGATTTTTCGCTGCTGGAACAAGATGACTGATCGTTCTAACCAGTCTCTTCTTCTTCGACTCTCCCTACGTCTGGCCAAATCTCTATGCCACGGCGTCTGTGATGGCTCTATAACCTATCCCGTCACCGACGACAAAGACCACGTCATTACTGCGCTACGAGCTATTGCTCTTGCCCAAGTACCTCCTCTGCAGGAACAGATCTGTGCTTGGAATGACTGGACAACGACACAAGATGATCGGATCGACCCCATGGCGGGCGCCAAGAAGGCTCGCATGAGGCTGGCGGATTTCCCAAAGTTTAAAAGTCAAGCATACGTGTGTGCCTGTATCCCCGACGCTTGCATTGAGACTTTTTTCCAGAGACGCCTTCATGGAGTATTTCTTACTAGGTTGATCTACTTTATGACCTGTCCCCGTTCTTCGCTTACCAGCCCTCAACGTCAGGGCAAGATCATATAATGTCTATCATTGACGATTGGGGAAGGGATCATCCGAACCCTTTGAAACTTGAAGGGCTTGATCATCGAACTCTGTCAAATATTGCGTTTCTCTTTGGTGGTGTGGGTGACGGTAAGTACCCCACCGGTTTTATTTGCATCAACGTGTTGATATCCACCAATCCTCAGCCCGCCACGTTTTTGGCTCCTTGATCGGCCTACACAAAGCCTTTGATAGGTTAAGCAAAGCAAAGCGGGAAAGCTTTCAAGCTCACATAACCTTACTTGATATTCACCCTACCGCTCTCGCGAGAGACCTTTGTCTTCTGATGTTGCTTCATGAGATGACAGACGAGACAAAAGATGCAGTCGCTCTATCAGAGATTAGCGCAACTATCTTCTATGTCTTTGCAGGAATGGTGATACCACCTTACTGCAACCGAAGGTCATTAGTTCCTCACCCAATCATTTTCGAAACGTTCTAACGGGTTGTGATCGACATATGTAGGTTGAAAGAAACTATGGATGACCTCTGCTCTCGTCTCTCTGCAACTCCTACGCTACTTCCACACTGGCTTCACGTCGATTCTCGCTGCGTTAGCCCCGTTCTCAAGGTCTTTCAGTACTGGAATACGCTGGAAGGGAAGAAGAATTGTGTGGAGATGCTTCGGCATCATCCTTTCAACGATTTGGTCGACAGCTCGATGACAGGGACAAATTCTCCCGCGGATATTATAGCCGCCAAGGACGCAAAGCGGCAGGAGTATGATCGATACTTCGACGCCATGACAGAGGCGAAATTACGAGAACTTTTCAAGATACCTCCAACCGTGGCTCCTTCAGTTGCAAGAATAGCCATCGCCAAGATTCGAGAGGATATGGTGGAAAAGGCTGTGGAACAGGCTATGGGTGGGTCTTCGAGTAAGGAGGACGAACTATGGTTTGACAAGATCTGGTACTCGGCAACAAAGACGTTCTTGCCACCACCTGAGCTTTGGTCTCGCCATCCTGGACTGGATGGCTTCCGTCAGAAGAGAAAGGAATCGAGGGATCAGTGGCTCAGCTTTGTCAAATCGGTTGCCCAGAAGGTCCGAAACCCCTATTTCTCTGCTCTTCCGTTGTTTCGAGCTCAATCGATTCGAGTAGGCACGAACAAGCGTCAATCAATCTTGGGTTCCTAACGTGACTCTCTTTGTAGGGAGTTTCCGAGTCCTTGTTCTCATCGTCGATTCTGACCTACCTTTCGACAGGATGAGTCTTCTTGCGAGTATCATGACCCAACAGGATACCCTGATGTGAACCTGGATCCATTTGAGCTCATCGAGGGCATGCGAGTGTTCAACAACCGATTTCAACTCGCACCTACGCTTCGGAGATCTCAGGAGGACGGCTATCCTTTCTATCACTCGACGGCCTTCTTCGACTCTGTCACACAGGCTCTGAAAGGGTTATCAGGTCGTATTCAATTGGAGGTGCTCTTGGGAGATCTTGATCGTGAAACGGAGATGATGCAGCTGCAGGCCGACAGCACTCGCCCGCCAGAGTTCCCAAGATCGTTTTCCAGGATATGGTTGAGCAACGTACCGTAAATCACTGCATGACTCTGCAGCTGGTTCCGAAACTCAACCCAATTTCCTTTAGTGACTACATACACGGCCCTCTTACCGTCGCTCAGCATTGCGTCCCTGTATTACAATCAAACCCGAAGTTGAAGGCCACTGCTGCCTCCAATTGTATGCTGAATAGTGGAGTATGGGAAAGTGGTGATGATTTCATCTACACGTGAGTTGAGATGGTCTGTATTTCCTCGGCCAATCTTGATGATTTACTTTCAGGTATACGTTGCTCTTGCCCGCGGAGGTCCCGCGATACCTTGGTTGTGATGTCGTCGAGAAGGAGATTCAATTTGGCCTTACGCAGCTTGCAAAAAGAGACTTCCCTCGCCCATTGTCAGAACTGGCATCACGAGCTGAACTCAAAACTTGGCTGACGCGGACTCTCCTCCATACTATCGTCCCAGGCACTTCCCTGCGTCGCCCTTGCAAGATCCTCCTTCCCAATAATTTGGTTGCCTTTCTTAAGCTCCTCGTCCACCTCCGTGCAGTCGGGTTCCCAGGCCATTGGCTGTCAGACTTTCTTCAAACTGTGCTGTCGGACACTCTCGTGACCGATCTTTCGCCCTATCGCGGAAAATTTCCCATCCCCTCCTCCGACAGACATCGTCGGGTTAATTCTCGCAGAGTTGTCCTGAATCCGTGGCTACCTGATTTCGAATCGGTATTGGCAATCACTCGGAAGGCGCTTCCTTTTGCAGTTTCCTCCCCCACTTCACTCCCGAAGTCGCCTGATGACATTGGACAATACCGGGCGACTGTGGCTTTCGTTCCTCTACTCATGCAGTCTGATGGGTCACCTTACGACTCTGTCCACTGTCTTCTTTTCGTTAAATCTGGGTTGGATCCTGCTGATATGATCAGCGAAATCCCTCTGATCCTCGAGGGTCAGAGGCCTCAGCACTCTGAAAGCGTTTATATCTTGACAGCCCCAGAATTCATCGATGTTCCTAACCGAATGGTGCGATGGAGGATGAGCAGGGAACGAATGGCTGGGATGAGACGCGAGAGCTGGTCGATGGTTGTTTACCGGGCGGATGTTGTGCATCCCGGTATGTTTTTCCTCCCTTAGATCGGCTCATTTTTTGATCAATTTTCGGACGAGGGTTTAGTGACACCGCCATCTTTTGCATCAGATTGGACTGAGTCGATGAACTCGTAGTTCGCTCTGAGTAGAGACATAGTATGTATCATCTTCTCTGAGTCTTCAAATCCAGTCGCCGACCGGTACCTTTATGACTCTGAGTTCCTGAGCCTTGACAGACCTTAACCTCACGAATCTAGATCAACGTCGAATCGAAGGAGAACTCAAAAAGTTATTTTGGTCAGTGAGCTTGTGTAGTAAATGCCTTCGGTGGAGTCGAGTGGTGTCTCGATTGAATCTCATGTTACACTTGGTCGAATGCTTTTCGCGTGAGCGCCATCCACGTAGGGCGAGGGGTGAAGTATCTCAGCGAAGCAACATCACGCTCGGAATGGCACAACTACGTTCTGGATGTAAACGGGTCCAGAAATTTATCTACTAGACCAGAAGGGGGCTCAGGGCTCAGGACTGAGCCTGAACAGAGCCATACTCCTCGCCCGACCCTCACCCACATCAACTCAAGAAGTGTTCAGTTTCCTGGGAGTGAACGGTTCGAGGAGAAAACCTTCCTATGGGCGAAAAAAAAAACTTTACCAGAACTTCCCAACGCTTCCCATTCACCCAGCATTAGGACACCCCATCCGCCCATCCCAAAAACAAAATTACGGGCTCTGCGGGGATTCGAACCCCGGCCGCCTGCACTCGAGGAACCCAAAGCAGGAATCGTACCTCTAGACTACAGGGCCATGGGGTTACGGCATTGTCAGGTCGAGTCAATGATGGAGGAATCGGAGGGGGGAGGAGAAGGGGGTAATGGTAGAGAAATGGGTTGGTTTGGTATGAGGGGACGGAGCGGGTTCTTGGTCGCCAGAAACTACGGTCCACTGGAGTTCCACTGGCAGGGCGAGATACGTTGCGGGAGAAGCGCTTGAAGATCCTCGACCACGTGGGGTAATTGCTCAAACTCTAATAAACGTGAATGATTGCCGCGAAGCTTCTTTCTCTTCCAGCAAGTTACAGATCGATAGTCAGGTCGATAAAAAATATACACACGGCAGGTATTGATACCCGACCGTTAGCGGTGTCGTCGGAGTCCTCTCCAGGTGAAGCGACCTCAGAATTGATGAGAACTGCTGCATTCGGATCGTTTTGCTCGCGGCTAACAATGGAATGTCAATTCCGTGCGTCTGAGTAGGTTTTGCAACCTGACTATCAATTTGTAACTTGCTGTCACCGTCGCTATCTTTCCTCGTCTGGTCGTTTCCGTCCCCTTTGTCCTACAGCACCTATCGTGACTCGAAGAGTAGGTGATGGACGCTAGGAAAACGAGGTCGAGTCTGCTGAGGTCTGCGTCTCAGAGTGACCTGGGCAGAACTCCCGGTGGGTCGACTACGAAATGCCGTCCACCACAGATGATCTTGACCTTGCATCCCAGAAAATATCCCTGCCACTAGTAGTAGTACTCCAAGAGGTGGTGCGATGTCGCAGAACGCAGCCTCTTCGACGCCATCATCCGCCCCTTCAACCTCGTCGCGTAATACAAACGGACGGTCTACAAGCCAGTCTCAGCCTGCTGACTCAGGTGCGCACAGTGACTTCTTCAGAGCCATCGCTTTACGCGGTCCTCCTTCTACAGGAAAGCGGAAGGCTAGAGCCTCAGTTGTGGCTTCGCAGTCTACTGCAGCCTCTCCTCTCAGCAACCGTCCGGCTACGCCGTCCGCTGCTGCGACGCGACCACCAGCCTCAGCATCTTCTACAGCGGCACAAGCCACTACGACGAACGCCCGAACCTCTGACGCGCAACTCGCGACACCATCTACAGTCGTGGTGAAGCGGGAGAAGGCGACCGTGCCGAAGAAGCCTCAGTCATCTGTCGCATCTGGATCTTCCCAACCAAAACCTGCGTCCACTACCTCCCAAAATGCGCCGCCACCTCCACCACAAGCTTCGCAATCCAGAGCTCCTCGCAATGCACCTCCAGCAACTAGTGTAGCTCCAGCACAACCAGTCACAACGTCGTCGACCTCCGAATCGATACTCACTGCAGCTGATATAGCCAAAATGCCTACCGATCAGGTCCTCGCGCTTATCGCGCCCGGGAACGAGACGACCTCAGATCCATCTGCTGCAGGTCCTTCCGGAATCTCGGCTACGAACCCTGCCTCATCTGCGTGGTCGACTGCACGGCGTGATGGGTTGGAGGAGGAGGATCCAGAGTTGCAGAGAGCGTTACATGAGTCGTTTTTTGAAGATCAGGAGTTACAACGAGCGATACGAGAATCTTTGGCACTTTCGAACAATAGTCCCGATGCTGGACCGTCAGGAGCCTCTTCGTCGACTATGGCTAACACTTCTTCGCCATCGAGTGCCCCTCCTGTACCTGCAGCGTCAGATTCTCCAAACACGGAGTCTTCGGCAAATACTCCTGCAGTACCTCCCACAGATTCAGCGACCGGAGCTGCACCTGCGGTGCCAGCGTCATCGGTACCGTCTCAAAATGATGATCAGCCTTCGATACCCGATTCTCAACAGGGCATATACCGACGTTCCTCCCTTTCAGACATATATATGTCTCGTTCGCCTTCACCAGTGCTACCAGAGTTGGGAGATTTATTGAGAGGGACCCCTGCTCCTCCCACTTCATCTCAACCTCGTCCGTCTTTGGACAAAGCCCCGTCCCAAATACCGATTGTCCCTAATCCCGCGAGAGAGTCGGAATCAGAGGCCGATATACCGCTTGCATCTGCACGGTTCGTCTTTTCCTTCGGAGTTGCGAGAGATGAACATCAGCTGACGAAACCCATTTGTTTATCTAGATTGGTAATACTAAAGTCTCCTCCGAAGAAAAAAGTCTCGACGACTCCCACAGCGATACCCCCGATAAGCAGTCAGAATGGTAGAGAACGAGCACAGACGAGGGGCAGGCCCCCTCCACCTGTTTCCACCGATTCACGCCGACCTCCATCTACTACATCTCAGCCGAAACCGAAACGCAAACGATCGATACCACCTGCTTCTACAAACTCCTTTGGTCTTCCTCCGAACAAAAAGTCACGCCTATCGAATTCAAGTTCGAGAATGACTCCTCGTCGGTCGGAGAAGTTTTGGCATTTGGACGGGTCGGTCGTCGTGCGGGTTCAGGATACTTTGTTCAAGGTTCATCGGTCGAGGTTGGTTTATGAATCTGAGTATTTTAAGAAGTTATTTGAAGGGCGTGGGGAGAGCAGAGTCGGCAGTGGTGGTGAGGATGAGATGGACGATCTGACAAAGATTGATGGGTGTGCTGTTTATGAAGTTGATGTGGAGGGGTTGAGCGTGAATGATTTTGAGGTGTTACTTTCTGCTATGGATGAGGCTATGTAAGCTTTTTTCGCTTTTCGATCGTGGCCTCCTCGTTGATGTCTTTGTTGTTTGGAATCTCAGTACGTACGTGACGAGACCCCCAAAATTTTTCGTCCTCTTGTCGATCCTCCGAGCCGCGACGCACCTCGATTTTGAGAAATACACCTCTTATGCGATATTTCGTCTCTCCAGTTTCCTCCCGTCGGAGTTACATGCTATGACTGAGCTACGCATGGGCATTCACCCGACGTGGGCACGACAAGCAGTTATATGCTGTCGATTATACCGGTCTGCGCGCGTGTTCTGTGATCCATGCCAGGATGATAAGGTTGTTAAAGGGATTTTGAAACGAGCATTTTATGAATTGGCGAGGGTTTCGGAGCTTGGCGTTTGTGATGGACTGGTGGATGTTGATCCGGATACTGGGCTCGTCAAGAATGGGAAGGGGAAAGAGAGGGAGAGGGATATTAATGAGTCGTTTGAGATGGAGGGAATGGGGAGTGGAGAGTTCCATGAGGTTTCTTTAGCGCCGGAAGATTTCAAACTGCAGACGACGATCCGCGCAAAGTTGACGCAAGTGTGGTTGCTTGTTGCTTCTACGTCTCCCAACTTCACTTGTCCTTTGGATGCCGCTCCGCCTGCTCCCAACCCTCCCAACCCGGAAGCATCAGCTTCAACCTTGCCGACCCCGAAAAGGTGTTTACCTGCCAATGAGAAGATGATGCATTGGATTGGTTCGGTTCATACTTCTGGGATATTCCAAAAGTATATCTATGATCCTATATGTGGGTTACAGGCTTTGATTGATGCTGCGGGGGAGTGGGAGAAGGAGGGGTATTGTTATGAGTGTGTGCGGACGAGGATTGAGACTTGGACAGATCGGAGGGAGAGGTTGTGGGATGAACTTGAGTTCTGGTTACTGCAGTGGGGACCATTATAATGAATACCTAGTTACTTTGATTTTATTCCTAGTGCTACTATTTCTTCCTTACGGTAGATGCATTTATCTTAGTCCCAACTGCTTTGTCTCGCCAGACAGAAGTTCGTGTCCCGGTGCCCATTCCAAATGGCACCGAGAAGTCTCGACGCGTCAAAGTAATTCCAGCCACCGACGCGTTTTGCGCCCTCAACCAAGCTCTATTTGAACCATCCCGGCCACCAGTTCTCCCATCATGCCAGATTGACCGCTGCTCCTGCGAATGCATAGTGCGATCAGGAAATCGCGTCGGAAAACAAGACTCCGGACTACACTTCGCTTGCTTGGGCTGTCCCCGTCGTATCTGGAGGAAAAGCATATTGCATTGTCGGAAGTGTTACGAAGGTGGGTTTGCTCATTGCCAGGTATTATTGGGATTATAGGTGTTGACGCGGATCTGTTGGGATTAGTCGTCAACTGGGAGATTGTCAGCTATCAAGTGAGTACTTAACCTTCAAGTCGACATTGAACGGCGGTGGAATGTTCAGATGCATTGTTAGCTAGTATGCCTGGCGCCGAATCGTCACCCAGCTCGTTGAAAAAGATGGGTGTGAGTGCCAGTCGAACATCCTCGTCCCAAGATCGTGCACATGTTTCAGACGTGGTATCGTCTCCTCCGAGTGCGGCCTCAGGTTCCGACCAAAATCGATCGCTTGGAGGACCCAGAATATCCCCAGCTGGAGATATCGAAAATGCGAATCATTCTCCGCAGAAGGGTATGTCTTCCAGTCTATGGGAGAAGTTGATGTGGTCATGACCGTGGCACAGCGCCAGCCCCCAAGTTACGCATACCTACTGCGGCTCATGAAAATCCCCCAGCGAGCGCAGAACCTCCGCGACACCCTAGTACATCGCCCACAAGTGGTTCCGCCCCTCATCGGGCAGCACCTTTCCCGCAGCTATCTCCTTTGGCCACTCCTCTAGCCTTACCGACCGAGCCGCCGTCACAAGCAGGGTCTTCGGAACAGGGGTGGAAACTGAACCGAAACCCGGAGGCTGATGAAGATGCATTCGATGCACCTTCTTCGTCCGGCAATGCTCGATCGTCATCCCCCGAACTCGCTGATATTCGTGACCTGTTAATGTCCACCCAGCCCCCCAGCTCCCAGTCTCAATTCAGAACACCATATGAGGGGACATCTTCCTCTTCGCGGCCTCGACCGAAACCTCGACTGTTGCAATCACCATCGAAGAAGTCCGTCACGTCCAAGGGTGTCAAACCCAAATACGAATCTCAATCCATTTCCATTTACCAAACTGTATCGCCTGGAAAGCAATCCGGTAGGAGGCCCCAGAGCCCCATTTCTATCTCGGACGACTCCACATCGTGTGACGATCTGGATTCATCGCAGCCCAGTGGTTCCCGAACTACAGCAAATCGTGTATCACCCACCCTAACTGCCCGGAAAAGAAGGCGTTCATCCCTCG